CCAATGGACTCGCTGACCAACAATGAGAGGGCCCCTCCAGCCTTGCTGGAGGGAGGGGACCTACACACTTGCTGCACGCCCAACTTACATATCGTTAGTTCACTGTACACCATAAACAGATATGGATCTCCCTAAGGTAAAACGCTCATTATCCGGAGGTAAACTAGTCCCCGTTCGGATCTCCGGGTGGAGTCTGCTTTAGGGGATGCATGGCGTAAGTTGAAAAATAGGGATTTGATTATTGGCATGTGGAACATAAGGAGTTTAAACTCAGCAGAGGGGTTTAAATCGGTTGCGAATGACGTTAATGGGTACTATTTGGATATAGTGGCTCTGCAAGAAGTTCGCTGGCCAGAGGAGGACTCGATGAGGGAAGGTAAGTAAAATATTTGGTACGGAAGGTACCGATATTTGGTACATTGTTTAGGTACCGAGTTACTAATTGGGAATAGATTGCTATAAGCTTTGAGGGACGTAAAATATTTTAGTGGAAGAATTTCGGTAGCGATATTTCTGGGCCGTTGGTTTAAAATCGTGTTATAAACATACATTGTCCGACCGAAGTCAGTTACGATGAATTTAAATGCGAATTTTACGATAAACTCGAATGGGTGTATGATAAACTACCGCGAAACTACATGAAAATAATTTTAGGTGACGGAAATGCAAAGCTGGGGAACTTTATGTTTCGGCGATTGGTAAAGAAAACTTACAAGAATATAATAATGATAATGGGATTCGTCATAATGGGAGTTATGGGTAGAGATCAGGAATAATATTGAAGCGGTCGGTAACTGTGTCTAGGAAAAAAGGAAAATAAGAACAAACCGTGGTTGTGACAACAAGAAAAGCCACTAAATTAAAAGCTCTAAATAATGCTAGCAAAGACAATCTGGAATACTTCCGAACCTCAAATAATGAAACGGCAAAAGTGCTCAAAAAAAAAAAAAAAAAAAAGGGAATATCATGCAAAATAAAATAATTGAAATAGAATGTAATAGAATTGAAAATAACGTTAGAGACATGTACAAAGCTATAAACAGATCACGTATATGTTTAGGGCCCGTCACGTCTGGAATTAGGGATGGAAATAACATTATTCTGACCGATTCGATAGACATATAAAATAAGTTTAAGAACCACTTTGACAGTATTTTAAATACGGGAAATTATGAGCTGTGTCCTCCTTCTGAGTACCAGAGTGCTGAACCGTTAATAGAGGAACCGAGTAAAAAGGAAGTTGAAGTAGCTATCGGAAAATTAAAATCTTGTAAAGCAGCGGGAACTGATAATATTTCTTGTAAACTAATTAAGGCATGCGGGGAAGCTGGAGTTTCTAAAATACATCTTTTGGTTAAAAAGATCTGGGTTAATCATAAATTACCTGAAGAATGGAAAGAATCTATTCTTATTCCCATTCACTAAAAGGATTCGAGCACGGATTGTAATAACTATCGAGAAATTTCACTCCTCCTGGTATGTCATAAAATAAAATATTCACTTTAATCTTAACCAGTCGAATCACAGAATACCCTGAAGAAATTATCGGTGACTACCAATGCGGATATAGGCGGAATCGTTCGACTATTGATCAAATATTTTCTTTACAGCAAATATTGGAGAAAACATTAGAGTACAACGGTGCTGCTTACCAGCTGTATATCAATTTTAAAAAGACTTACGATTCTATTGACCGCCAGAAACTGTATAATATTCTAATTGAGCAGGAGATTCCAAAAATATTAGTAAATCTAGTCAGGATGTGCTTGATGGAAACACTCAATAAACTTAGAACTGGTGATAATTTATCCGAAAAGTTTGAGGTTCGTTCGGGTTTAAAATCACCCTGTTTTAAACAGTGGTTTCGTCTGAGAGGTAGACCGAAGCGAAGGTGGAAAGATTGCGTTAAAGCCGATATAAAGGGACTGGGTTTGGACGGCGAACGGTGGAGTGAGGTGTGTAATAAGCGATGGGTGGTGTCGGCATCGAACCTCCAGGTTCGCTAAGCCTTTTTATTATTATTATTTATTATCTATTTCAAAAGCTGAGTAAGCTTTTAGGTCTATGAAAGGATAAATCCTGACTCCCTAGAAAATCTTTTAGTCCAGGGAGCAAAGTTACAAATAATCACCAATCCAAACATATAACCAACGCCGCTTAAACATTTTGTAAAAAATCACAAATCGCAAAAAAATTAAGTCAGATGTACCTACCCTTATCTATACCTAACCTAATTTTTTTTCAATTTTTGTTGTTATTTTTACAGACCTACAAGATTTTTTGTCTTTGATCAATGTTTTCTGATTAGCAACAGGTAATTTTTTGTTACCTTTGTTTATCCTGCATATCTGTCTATCTGATTTTTGGTACATTGTCAACTATTATTTTATTTATGAAACTACAGAAATATCATGAAAATGATTTTGGTGCTATACACCCAAACTGTACATATATTTTTTTTAAATTTCATTTATAAAGTATAAGTAAAATAAATTAACACAAAGATTTTAAACAAGGGTAAAATAAATGATAACAAAGATTTTTTAATACACTGATATTTGTGCTTGTATATAGCAGCAACGTTTGTGATAAGTTTTCTAAAGCAGTAATAGATGGTTTAAGAAGTTAAATGTGGATATGTTTTGTGAGTTAGGAGTTAAATCTGTATCCATTTTAGATACATTCTCAAAAACTCCTTATTTTAAATAATATTGGAAGTACAGGCTGTAAATACCCATGAACAATTAAAAGTTAAACAAATTGATATTAAACTTAAAGACAAATATAATCAGCTAAAAAAAGAAAAGGAAAATACAAATAAAAATAAGATTGATCATAGAATTCAAAATATGCCTAAATAAAATATGTTTTTGTTTAATAAAACAACAAACTAATTTTTTTATTGACGTAAAGTCAACAAAAGTAACCTTAATCTTGATGAGGAAAAGTTTTGAATAAATAAAACAATAACACACATATTAAAAGAGGATAGTTGTATAAAATAAAATATTTGATTTTATTAATGTTTTTATCACAATTAAGATATATAAAATAATACAATGACAAAAAAGGCATTATAAGCTAAATAAATATCACTAACCAGTTTCAAACTAATAAATCACTCAAGGAATGAATAACAAGGTAAGGAACAACATTATATATTTTAATAGAATAAATGGGCTTGTAAATGAGCATATTTTTTACAGAACAGTGCAAATTACAATGGCGGTCAAGCAAAAAGAGACATAATGCTAATTTCCCTATACTGAGTACATTTAAAAAAGTAAGAACATTTTCTATAAAGATTAATGTTTTAGTTAAATATAAATAAAATGGGTACAATGAGCTACCTCAATAACATTCAAAACATTTAATGATCAATTTATTTATCAGTAGCATGCAAAATACATCAATATTGGTATTATCCACAACTAACTTTCAAATCATGTTAATAAAGTTTTTATTTATAAGTAACATTAATATTTATTTTATTTTCTCTATCATTCAAATTCTGTTAATATTTATCTACCATCATAATTATAATTTGTCATTATTGATCCTATCTATAAGCAATATTCCATTTAGGTAAACATTGGTTTTGTCTAAAATTAAATAATTATTATATTAATGTGTGCTCAATTCAGTTGTTATCCATCTATATTTTCAAATTTATTTCATTTATTGTATCTATCAGTAACATCTCATTTTCTATTAGTATTAGCCTAATCTATCAACAAGATTCCAATTATTTAATTATTTATTTTAATTTATTATCGTTTAAATTGTCTTAATATTAATTTTATCTATCAAAAATATTCAAATTATTTTAATACTGAATTTGTCTATCACTAATATTTAATTTATGTCAGTATTGACCTTATCTATCAACAATATTCAAACTATGTTACTATTGATTTTATTCAAATCATACTAATATTAATTTTAGTTATCAGTAATATTCCAAATGCATTAATATTGGTTTTACATTGTACTAATAATTTAATTTAGCAGTAACATTTTAATTTATGTTAGTAATGAAACTATCTATCAGCAATATTCCAATTATATTAATATTGGTTTTATATACCACTAAGAATTTAATTTATGGTAGTATTGATCTTATTTATCAGCAATAGACCAATTGTGTTAATATTATTATTGTCTAATCATGTCAATATTAATTTTAACTATCACCAATATTACAATTAGGTTAGAATTGATTTTATCTATCAACAATACACCAATTATGTTCATATTGATTGATGAGATAATTATTTTATTTATGTGTGCTTAAATGAGCTGTTTTTATACTTTTAATTTTTTTTTAATCCAAAAATACATAAATACTAAAAATTTAGTCGCAAGGTAAGTGCCTAGTCTTCCTTGACATAAATCTGCCAATGATTTTTGGTATATGATAGTTTAAATATCACAATGAGATATTTAACTTTTCCTACCAATTTCATCAGTAACATATTTCAACAAAAATTTATCAATGTAATATTTTTTGTATGGTCATTCACAAGCCCTATTCCTATTTCATTAATTAGCAAATACAACATGGTATACATCGTTTTATTTTAATTACCATTTATTTCAAGGAAAATATCATAAATTTTAGTCTAAAATAAACAATAAAAAAGTATTTTTGATTAATAAAACCATCATATAATTATAAAATAAAATTGAGCAGTTTCAAAACAGAATGCATAGAAATAATATAAAATATTTAACGAACTAAACATATATCTAAATTCAAAAAGTGTAAATATAAATAAAATGCAACAATATAGAATTAACATTATTAAATTGGCATAAAGTGGTAAAAAGTCCAAACTTAACAACATAGATTATTGCACATGTTTATAACAACATAATGATTATAGAACCATCAAAATATTTTAATACGTCTATCTAAATATCCATTATTTAATTATTTTTTTGGTATATTCAATTAATTAAAAAAAAGATCATTATTTAATTATTTTTTCTATTTTTTTGGTATATTCAATTAATTTAAAAAAAGAATATACCATTTTATTCAAAATTTTCCATCAACGCAATGTAACAAATTGATGTAAAAATGTATCGATTTAAAAATTGTATAATGTTCTAGTTTCTTTAACAAATAACACAATCATCATAAAACTATAAAATTTTGATACATCTAAATATCCATTACTCCATTGATATTTATAAGCTTGATCTACGAATTTATTCTATCAATATTTTCAAACTATTTGTTTTTAGTATATTAATGTTATATATGTATGTCATCACTCTGGCATATCTTTCAATAATCACACCAATAGTTTAATATAAATAGGCTCTCAAATAAACATCATAAACAAAAATACAAAATTTACACTGTAATGGGTGTGATATCACTAACCAAGAGTAATTATGGTTTAGAATAACATTTAATAATCATTAAAGGGGCCAAATGAAGATAAAATATAGAAATACTCCTTTATAAATAAATAGAAAAAAATACAACAATTTGAAAATTATTATGTCAGTTAAAATTATTATTGAACAGCACCATTAAAAACCAGTAATAAAAAAGATTAATATGATGGATTATGAATTGATAAAAATACATAAAATAAGAACAAAAAATTAAAAACAAATATTGTAATGAAAAAATAGTAATAGTAACATAAAAATAGTAACACCTTTGGCAAAGAACATTCTTGAAAAATGTATTTTCAGAAAATTTAAACAATATAAGTAAAGGTGATGAAAAAATTAATAATTTGTATACAACTTATAACTCTAAAAAACAGTATAAAGGAACATGTTCCATAATTATAATCAATGATACCTATAATTAAATTGAAAAATTATAGATCAAAAACATCTTTCATAAATAGGAATCAAGTCACCAATATACAGTCGACTCTCGATAATTCGAATTTTTTGACAATTTAAGCTCTTCAGCTGTTAACTTCATTAAATCAAAAAAATTCTATATTTAGATAGCTAGATAACTCAAAATCCTTTTCGTAACAAGAGGGACAGGGAACTTTCTACGATTCGAGGTAGACCCCACTTCTCCACTTTATAATTCGAAATTTTCCTAGTAACATTTTTTATATGAGGCTATTTATACATATAATTTATGTAAGCTCATACACATTTTCAAAAATATAAGAAAAACTCTTAATAATTAAATTGTTTTTCTTTTCTCTTGATAATTCAAACTGCTCGATATCTCAAGTCTCAATAATTCAAAGTTTTCTGGTAGTCCCTTGAATTTTGAATTATCGAGAGTTGACTATATAACCAGAAACTGCAATAAGATATTAAGTGATGTATCATGGTTTAAAAGCTGAAAATATGCAAAAGCATCCAAGTAAATAGTCAGAACCCCAATGTATAAAACAATAAATAAAAATAACCTCTTTTTTTTAATTAGTGTCTTCTTCAGACAATCTCAATTGGACATTTATCATATTAATTTCTCCTCCATTAGGTCTTAAATTTTAGCTTATTCTATATTCTTTCAATTAATAAAGTTTATTATATAATTGATAATACAATCCACACCTGGTAAATAAACTAAATCGATAACTTAGTGCTGACTAAAATGTATGTGGAAAGTTGTAAGGAATGAATGTAAGGCAGGTAGTCAAATAAGTAAATAGGAGGGTAATTAACACATATTCATCTGGTAATTTTTTGCATATTCATTCACAAAGCATCTCTTTATCTCTGTTTGGTAAAAATTAGAATTTAATTTATTTAGAATTAAAACATTTCTTCATTGAGTACTATTACATTCTGTCATATTCAATGACACTAGTAATAGTGATAGAATAGCTCAATTTAGAATTAAAAGAACAAGAATAAATTATTTCCTGGAATATAAAAATGAATAATTTTGGGCATTCGGCTGTTGGTGATCATGAAATTGTCATGTGGATGAATATGTGTTAAGTACAGTCTGTTTTTGCAGGATTAGGATGTAAAGAGGTTCATTCCAGAGATGTATATAAGTGAATATTGTTGGTGATATTGGCACTGAATCTCTGGATTTGTAAGGCCTCGTAATAACTAAATCACAATTTATAACAATGAAAAGAGTGAACTAAACATAAAGAGATTTATAAGCTTTCATTAGAAAACTGACTCATTTTACAAACTAATAAATAAAAACACAAATTTATACAATAGAGCACCAACAAAAACCAGTATAGTTAATGAACAATCCACAGACAAATAAAACAAAATAAAAGTGCATTTAGTGTTTTACTGCCACAATAAAAAGAAACTGTTAAGTAATTTTTACCATTTAAAATAATTGGTAAAAACTTATGGATTTCAAGATTTTAAAGAGCATGCAGCATCATTTTCTTGTTCTTGAAATACTGACTGGCATTTTTTGTGAGAAATTTCATCAATAGCAGCAATTATACCAGTATCATTACTTGCGTTTGTTTCTTTAGAATAAACATATTTGTTTCCATGAATATCAGTAACTTTTCCACCTACTGATTCCAATATAGCTTCAACAGCACATGTATCCCAACGTTTCAAACCTTTGGTTGGAACAATATAAGCATGTGCGATTCCTTCAATCAACATTATAGCCTGAAAACAAAACAAGAAATTATTTATATATTTTTTCATAGCTATCAAGCATTGTAATTTGTTACTATAGTAGCGATTGTTAACGCCACAGCATTAATTTATTTTATTTTTATTTTTAACAATTTGGATAATTTTTATTTTGGTTTGTCTCATAAAATGAAACCAATTATTAATTATATATATATATATATATATATTCATAGGCCCATAGCTTATATTGTTTATATTCTTCTGGTCAATAGTTTGTACTTAAACTAATTGTTATGGATTGTAGACCTAGCTATAAACAAGTCCTAGGTTCAAGTCCAAAGCCCGTAGATTTCCCAATACACAGTCTGACTCCGTCCGTCACAGAGCCCAGTGCTGCCAACTGCCCACTGTAATCCGCCTTTGAAGAGACCTACTTCTCTGGTCGTGCTGGCCGCTGCCCACTTGCAGTTTGATTATATGAGCGCTTTCTTTTAAATAACAAGTGACTTAAGTTAAATAATAGTTAGGCTTCATTCGAAATTTGATTTAAACTAAGCTTGAGGGAGCTTAACAGCGGTTTTACATTAAATTTGATCCTCCGTACATATTTGCTATCGATAAGAAATGATGATATATAGTAGAGATAGATAAACAATAGAGTGAGAGGTGTCAGGAAGTGAGATTTGCTATCGAGTTGTAGTCAAGTGAAACATTTAATTGTTCTGAATTCGCCTGCCGTCTTCGTCGCTTCAGCTACAGCCTGTGAGAGTTACGGTGAGTCGGGGCGATGTGTGTATATGTGGCCAAAGTTGATTTAAACTGTTTCCATAAATAGCCTACAGATCTGTCTTCGTCTAAAGAGGTTGAACCCAAGAATCCCATCCAACGAGATGTTATTGGAGAAGTTAAAACATAATGTAAATATTGTTCATTTTTATTTCCAGGACTATATTAATTTATTTTTTAGAAGAATTTGCTTTTGCTTTTGTTTATTTTATTTTTGAAGAAAAAATATTTATTCATTTATACTGTGTTTATAGTGTAATTCATTTATAGTGTAATAAAGTTTACGTTTTGATTTGGATCCTTCTTTTTAGCTTTTCTTATCTTAGTAATTAACCAATATTCCAACGCTATAATGATAATGATATACAAACATAAATTATATCACAAGTAAATATACTGAATATAAAATGTTAAAAAATGAAAAAAATATTGAAAAAGTTGTCCGTTTGTTAGCAAGCAATAACTCATTTATTGACTGAATAACAGGGTTTGAAATCAATAATTATTTTTTCTACAAAATCATGTAATAATTATTATATTTGATTTTTAATACATAAATAAAAATTTTAACCGATCCATGATGTTTATTGATTTGATATATGTATATATAGCATTTCCAAGTCAATTTCAACCTTTTCCAAGTCAAATTCAACCTTTTCCAAATCAAATTAAACTTTTTCCAAGTCAAATTCAACCTTTTCCATTTCAAATTAAACCTTTTCCATTTCAAATTCAACCTTTTTTTATTTATTTAATTATCTTTAATTTTTCGATCTGTGGGTCTGTTATCGTATGAGTAGTTTTTGATAATAACCTCCTTTTTAAGATTACGTGACTGAGTTTCGAATTATTTAAGTTTTTTTGAATTATTCGATATAAGGGTGTATTTTTATGTCTCCCGATCAGTAAATTTTGAAAATGATATCCATTTTATGTTTACGCCACTGTGTTTTGATTTATTTAAGTTTTTAGAATTTATCCAATATAAAGGTCTACTTTTATGTTTCTGGAGCCGTAGATTTTGAAAACAACCTCCATTTTAAGATTAGGCCACCGCGTTTCGACTTATTTGAGTTTTTCGGATATTTTCCATATGAGGGTGTATTTTTATGTTTCCGGAGCTGTAGATTTTGAAAATGACCTCCATTTTAAGATTAGGCCATCGCGTTTCGACTTATTTGAGTTTTTCGGATATTTTTCATATGAGAATGTCTTTTAATGTTTCCGGAGCTGTAGATTTTGAAAATGACCTCCAGTTTAAGATTACGCCACTGCGTTTCGACTTATTTAAGTTTTTCGAATTTATCCAATATTAAGGTCTACTTTTATGTTTCTTGAGCGGTAGATTTTGAAAATAACCTCCATTTCATGATTACGCCATTGCATTTTGACTTATTTAAGTTTTTCGAATTTATCCAATTTAAAGGTCTACTTTAATGTTTTCGGAACCGTAGATTCTGAAAATGACCTCTATTTTATGATTAAGCCACTGCGTTTCAAATTATTTAAGTTTTTAGAATTTAACAAGTATAAACGTCTAATTTTATGTTTCTGGAGCAGTAGATTTCCCCCATTTTGTAAATGACCCAATTTCAAGTTAATGCCACTGTGTTTTGGATTATAAATTTTTTTTTTTTTTACTTTTGCGGTATAAGGATCTACTTATATGTTATCCGAGACGTATTGAAATTTTTCTAATCTTTAATATTTAAATTTATCTAATATTTAAGCTCTATTTTATGATTAAGCCGCTGCATCTCGAATAATTAGGCTTCATTTTGGATTTTTTCAATACAAAGTTTCATCGATATGTTTTCGAGTATGAATAAATAAATAAATATTATGAAGCTAAAGTTAAATTAAGTTAAATTAGTGGCGTAATCTTAAAATGGAGGTCATTTTCAAAATCTACGACTCCGGAAACATAAGAATACACTCTTTTATGATAAAAATTCGAAACACTTAAAGAAATCGAAATGCGGTGGCCTAATCTTAAAATGAAGGTCGTTTTCAAAATCTACGGCTCCGGAAACATAAGAATACATCCTCATATGAAAAAAATCTGAAAAACTCAAAGAAATCGAAACGCGGTGGCCTAATCTTAAAATGGAGGTCGTTTTCAAAATCTACTTTAATTTTGTATATATTAATGTTGATAGTACCTTTTGTTAGTGTTGAGAGTACCTGAAAAAAAAAAAAAAATGGAGCTTCAATCTGCACCCTAACTACTACACACCAGTGGGGGCTCTTAAGGGGCAATTCCACTGTGTTTAGGCAATATATACCATGCGGCATTGACGCATGCTACACACAATCTTTTCATAGAAGAAACACAAAGCGACAAAAAATATGTCTCCTTGTCAAATGCTACAAGTTGACCATTGTTGCCAGTTGAGTCATCTTTCCACATGATATGACCTGTTGAACAGTGTTGTCGTCTATACAACAGCCAACGGACCAGTGCAGCTTATAGAGGGCAACAACAAGCTAGTAAAGTGGACGAATGAAAAAACTATCTCTTTTATTGACATTACCATAATTCTCTCGAATTACGGAATAACAAAATCAACAAATAAAAAAATATAAGAATTAAAAACTATAACTTGAAACAATTATCTGATAAATATAATTATTGTACGGTGATAGAGATAAAAATAATTGGCTTATTTTTAAATGGCTAATTTATTTAAATAGGAAAATATAATTGTACTTTGATGGAAGCAAAAAAATCAGGAATTTGCTGTCAGCATTTCATCGTGAGGGCAAAATACCTTAGCAATAAAAGAGTGGCTCATCTCCTAGCAAAACGAGGAAATGGTTTGCTTATGAGCTACTGAGTTTTTTATTGGATGCTGATGTACAAAATCAATATTGTCAACTTCTGGCAGCGATGACACGAAATGCTAGCAACCCAAATGAATTTTCCACTACTCTTCGAGCGTGTTATATTAAAAAATTTTTTGATTTTTTAAATAATTCGACTACGAAAATTGGGAAATTCTATCCATCCTAAGAAAATGTACTTTTTGGTAGATTGATTGGGAAATTGACATATACAAATATTTAAACTTGGTGCAGTGGTCGGGTTTCTTTCATTGTAAATCAATTAATAATCGTGATACTAAACTATAATAATTTTTTTTCTGTATTTTGAGCCAAATTGTTTCAAACCATTCATGGGATTTAGCTGAGTAATTACAGTTGTCAGACTAAAACTCGATCACGTCATCCACTCAAAAAATCTTAACCTGCCTTTTATCGGATTGATTAAACAAAGTTTACACAGTAATTTGAGCTAAAATTATTTCGAAACACCCACAGAATCTCACCGAATAATTTGAGTCATCAAACTTAAAACCGATTCAGATGTTTGGTCAAAACAGCAATACAAAGCTTTTTTGCAAATTGACTAAACACACCTTATTTAATAACGGGTCAGTATTTTTAGTTCAAATTGTTTCAAAACACTCAGGAAATCTCACTAAATAATTTGAGTCATCAAACTTAAAACCGATTCAGATGTTTGGTCAAAACAGAAATACAAAGCTTTTTTGCAAATTGACTAAACACACCTTATTTAATAACGGGTCAGTATTTTTAGTTCAAATTGTTTCAAAACACTCAGGAAATTTCACTAAATAATTTGAGCCATCAAATTTGATCCATAAAAATTTATGCAGCCACTCCCTTAAACCAGAATTACCAGCAAAGCTTTTTTCAAATTAATAAAATGCATTTTTAGTTAATAATGGGTCAGTATTTTTAGCGCAAATTGTTTAAACATTTTTTTTTAAAACTTGTTTTTCTTCGTTTAGTCAGGTAATTATACTCAATTTCTTGACCATCAATATATAACTCTCTCTCTAATATTGTGGTGTTTTCTTTTACTTTTCGATTGAAAGCAGCTGCCACAACTATTTGTAATGACGTACCAAACCTTTGTTGCTTGAACGGACGCATGTTACACTCTTGTACGACAACGCGCATGCAATGTGGGGCAACTTATTCCGAATGCGACATTAATTGAATTTTTGCAACATAGTAGGACACCTTCAAAAGGCAAAACTAGGAAACAAGTATCAAGCCACATGTTGTTCAGTGTTACCTCATTGGAATTCCGCCTTTAGTATAATAGTAAGTCTAAAAGGTAGGACAGGAGGCTGAATTAAACATACATCCACTCCATCTTACCTTTTAGGTGACATGGGTTGAGACATTAGTTGAGGTAATAAAAAAGTATAGATATGAACCACTACTCTAAATAAGTCACACAGTATTTTTAGTAAGAATATGAGTATCAAATCTGATAAAAATAGTCTTTCTTAACCCAGAAAAAGTAGTCTTCATCAAAATGAAGAAGGCTCTGGACAATCCAATTAGTTTCCTGGTATTCCCTTCTCCTGACACTCCCTCCTCTCAGCAATGCTATCTCCACCGATTACACAAGTGACCCTTGAAAGTGGAAAGCTCTTATAAAGAACACCATGTCCATTTTTTAATTAAATAATTTAGTAACTGAGAAACAAATTTTAATAGCTCAAAGTTATGAAAAATTGGCTCTCCAAACATATACACAAATGTGATATGGTGTCCATCATTTCTGTGGTACAGATTTAGTAACTAAGAAACAAATTTTAATAGCTCAAAGTTGTGAAAAATTGGCTCTTCGAACATACACAAAAATGTGATATGGTGTCCATTTAATTTTAATAGCTCACACTGATTGAATGATTGGGAATGACTTGCTCCAAAAAATTCTCGACAGTGACTTCTTCGTCTGTTAGGCGTTCGTTTTCGTAGGAGGAAGTCGACATATATCGATTTCTTCATTAGAACTATTTCTCGATTCACCATCACTCAACAATTTTAAATAATTCAAATATTCCACTTCTTCTTCCAGGATACGAAATATTTTTCCATTTTTAATAATGATGATAAAAAAAATGTCACGAATAAAATACCTAATTATTATAAAATGTGAATATGAAACGTGATGTAGTCAAGACAAGAACTTATTAATGACTGAGAAAACTAAAAACAAAGGATGTTTGGCGAAGTATTTCCAATAATATATGTTCTAAGAAACTAAAAAAAAAATCAAAAATATAAGAATATCAATTATTAGTTCCATGAATTTTTGTGATCAGTTTTGTGCTAAAACAAGATAAGAAACAGTGAATAGAACAAAAATTTCTATAGCGTGAACCTGCCATTGTTCCATATGTGGAACATTAAAATTAAAATTAGTAAAACTGATTCTTAGATTTTTTTTTTTAATTTACATTTTCTACAATGCATTATTTTCAGTAATCTATCACAATAAATTAAATCAATGTTTAAATTGAATCTCATTGGTATAGAATTAAAACAAAAAAAAAAAATAATTGATACACCTCTCGACACAAACAATCAGAAACTTTACTTTTTTATTTACCAAAGTAAAAGTGATAAAATCTTTATTTAACGAATTTAAAAAAAATATTTCAACCTTTGTTTTGATGGAAAAAATTGGTTTTTACAAAAAAATAATGATTAAGTTGGCAAAAAAAATTGTTTAATATATGTTCCGCTTCTGGAACAATGACATGTAAAAGGTTAAACAGTTTTTTAATTATTTCTTCTGTTTTTAAAATTGTATAAAATAAATTATTTCTTGCATTAACATTAAATAATATTTTGCTCCTACACCTCCATATAAAAGTTCTTTTCTGAATGAATTTTGGCAAACTGAGTTCTTTTCTTTCATTGATTATGTTATGGTTATTATTTTCGTTTTGATTGGTTTAGATAAATATATCATAAGATGGTTAATAAACAGTTCTGTAAGAATTATAAATCAGAAGAATGAAAAAAAGAACCAACAAATCCCTGTGCTGTCCATTTGAACAGAGACTGCTTTGTCCATTTGACGAAGCGACACCTTCAATGCAGGTTACAATAGCGATAACTTTACCGGGTTAAGTGATGATTTCTAGGTTTTATTTAACACTAGACTTGTTTCTGCCTATAAATTATGAGCCTCATACTTTTTTGAGAGAATAATAGTGAGCATTTTCTTTAGATTATATCTGCATTAAAATCCTAATGAAAAATTAGGTTGATAATTTTCGTGGCCTTTTTCCCATTACAGATCTTTAATTATTATGTTTGTCATTTAATATATTCACTACAGATAATATGAATTCTATATAAATAAATTAAATGGATTCAAATAACTTTTTATGCAGTTTACCTTATGTCCAGCTCCACCAACACGGACAATACCATCAGGATTTAACTTTATAAGAGCATCTTCAAGAATTTTATCAGAATGACTTCGAGTAACAGTCACGATCAATTTATCGTTTAGAGCAGGTTTCAACTGAAATCCACCAAAACCAACACCAACTACAGCCCAAAGAGTACGTCCTTTAACTACGCCATCTTCAGTATAATAAGGTTGATGTATCACACCACAGAGAGGTTTACCTTTCACAGCCAATCCAATTAAAACTGTGACATGGTCTAAAAAGCCTAAAAGATACACATGTGAATAAATAAATATTAACAAATTTCCTATCACCTTATTTATGCATGTATATTGTGTTAGTACTAAGATAAAAGTTATAGAAAGGTTTGTTCCAATTTAAAATGAATATGGCCAATATTGAGAATCTAAAATGTAATGTTTTATTTTTCTATATCCTTAGATAATCTCTCCATTCCAACCAATCCATATGGAATGATCGTGAACATTAAATCATGTGATTCAGAATGGCTAGAATTCTACTGGTCATAAATTTCACCATTCCATGCCAAGAATTGCGTGCAAAACTGGAGTGGAACAATAATTTTTTAATATTCTTAAAATTTATGACACATTTTCATTATTTGTTTATATTTTTTTTTTTAAAGAAAGGCAGGATTTTCGTCAGAAGGTCACTGGTCACAGTTAGTGGAGATAAACGATCCTATAGTTTCCTGATTTAAGTACACAGCACGAACACAAACACAAAACAGTACACAACTTGCCATACTAACACAAAGTCTTTTACACTACACACAAAACAGTCACCTTTCGTAGGAAGCTGCCTCGGATGAGAGGAAGTTGGGATATTTTAAGGAGGTCCCTCCGCCTGACTAGGGAGCAAAAAGCAAGTATTCTGCTCCCCTAAACTAACTTACAATTGTATCTTAACAAGTCAATACCACTAAATTAAATTGTAACAGACCTGGACAATATCCTTAACAATATGAACTTTAAACTTGGATTCAATCAATTCAGATTCAAGTCCTCCTTACAGAACTGGACAAATATAAATTGGACATATTTACCATCCAACCATTTAACCAGCCAATGGCTCATAGAAAATAAACCACACTGTTTATTACAGTTTCCATACTAAGAACCACGCCTTTACCTGAGTAGGCTTCATGTTCGGGAACTGATGAAAGAACAGGTTATCGAATTCAGCCATACTAATGAACATTTGGGTATTTCCACATTGAAGAGAAATTTTATAATTTTAGTCTCATTAGCTGCCATGCACCTAAAGAAACTTCAAATGATAAAGAAAAAAAAAAAAAAAAAAGGATGGTTTTTACAATAATTTGGAAAGAGTTTTTGAAATCAGTCTTAGAAGCAGCATTAACATTTTACTATGCAATTTTGTTGTCAAAATAGGGATAGGAGCCTACAGACCCACCCATTGGCTTTCATAGCCATCATGAGGACAGTGATGACAACAGGAAGAGAATTATTGACTGTTCACCAAGAAAGACATTTTTCGGATCAGTGGTTATACATTCCAAAAAGTTCTTGCAGAAAGAAGATGATATAGAGAGAGAAGTAAACCAAGATATCATTCCTCAGTGCAGTAAGAATTCTAGATGGCTGGAAAATTAGAAAGAATAAAGAATTCTATGACCTTTATGGATAGCTAGATATTGTCAGGTTTATCAAGCTTGGGAGGCTTAGTTAAGCTGGTCACGTAGCTAGGATGTGAAACTGGAAGGCAGCAGCATTAGGCTATTGGTACTTGATTAATTCCCAAAAATCTTATAAAATTTACACTAAAATATTTGTAGGAAATAAATTCAAAATATATAATTAAACTTTTTTTATTTCATTGAAATAAAGCTTAATTTGAATTATCAATCATGTACTGTGGTTAGGAAAGTTGTTGATTACAACCTTCTGCCTATTAATACATGTTACACGGACTTCACTGACATTAACTGTCATGGTCAGTCCATTTCTCATTGCAAGTTTTTCATTGCAATTCTTCATTGCAGTTCATTGCAATTCTTTCAAAAGAAGGTTCAGTGTTATGCCTAACAAGCAATGACAAACCTCAAGATGCTGTAACTCTCTAAATTCATGCGGTGTTCATAGAGTGAGCTTTTTACTGTTCCTATTTATCTTTTATATTTTCAAGTCCTTTGAAGATATTCGAGTTAAAACTCATTAAAGAATATAGAACAGAAAATATATTTGAAAGTATATAAAAGCATGAGTAATAAATAATAAGCAAACTAATACCAATAGAAAATGAAGTATTACCAGTTATTAGTGAGCTTTTATAGAGAATAGCTAGCTGTCCACTATAATAGTTAAGAATGTTGTTAGTAAACAAAAGGAAATTGCTTAACCAGTGCCAGAAGGCGTTCTTAACCTAGTCAATCCAGAGAAATAGCTTTCCTGTTTCAAACCAAAAGATCCTACTGATACAATAAAACACTGCTTATAATAGTAATGGATGAAAATTTAAAAAAATAAAAAGATTTTTTATATGAAATTGGTATCTAAATATGGATTGATCAGCAACAAAGAACCCCTACTACTTCCCAACATTTTTTCTAATAATACCTTGGTAAACATAAACTATGTTCGCAAATAATGTAAAATACCTTCAGTAAACTCCCTAGTTCCGTCCAATGGATCGACCCATGCAACAATCTGGAAAATGAATTTTAGTGTTAGAGCAGCATTATAAAATAATGAGAAACCACACTTGGCAGTTTTATACAAACATCTAACAAATAAATAAATAAATATTATAACAATCACCACAAAACTACAATTAAATAATAAATAAGAGTACCTGAATAAAAAAATGAAAATGATCACATATTATAATATGAATGAGGTTATCTAAGCAATTTTGTTATTTATCACATAAAATAGAGTACCATTAATTCTTAGAGCATTTTTGTATTTACATTTTAAACAAAAATGTAATACTCCAATATGGCTTTTTTAAATGCAACTACTTATCGTGTCTAAACACTAATTTTCATTTAAATTATATGGGGATCAATGATGTGAAATTTGAACAATCTTTTATTTACAAACTATACAACATATAACTTTATAATTTTTAATTAAAAACTAATAAATGGTCCTCTTTTAGTATGGGGTTTACTGCTGAGTTAGTAACCAAGTCTCTATAAAACACAACAATTAATTCATAACTTTAATTGATATAAGTAAATATTTATTAATGAAACTAATTAGGATATAATATCCATAGCACTTTCTTCAAGCTGACAATCATAAAAATAGGGGGAAAAATAGTGATGCCAACAGTATTGCCAATGATAAATGCCAAACAATGGATGATGAATACCTAGACTTAAACCATAATACTCTATTTTATTAGAATATTAGTATATAAATCTTTAATCATATTTACATCTTTATCTGTTATTTCATGAAGATTGGATGGGCAACTCAGAGATGTAATAAAACCTGGTTCATCTTTGACAATCCAGTCACTCGGTACAGAAGCAGTAAGAGAAATATCTTCTTCCCCTATAATTGTCATGCCAGGAAATTTCGAACGCAGGGTCTGTACGATACATTTTTGCGCTGACCTATCTGCTTCAGTTTGAAGGTCATTGACACCCTGAAAAAGTATGAAAAACTGCCTTAATGCAATATAGAGATTATTATTGTACAATTAATTAAACATTATAAATGCTCAATGAATTAATAAAACTTTTTTTTTTTAATGATTTTACATGGTTAGAATACAAAAGAGAATGTAAAATAAGCTTCATTCATTAAATATAATTTTGTTTATCATTACATATTATTTTTGTTTGTTTTTTAGATTTACAAAAATACAAATGGTTATTTTAAATCGCATAAATTAATTTTTAAGCTTTTTGTACATATTTTACTAAGCATTTTTAATTTCTACTTAATCTAAAACTTGCATAGATCATTTCAGATTATCAATGCTGCACTATTTTTTAGTTCTTTTATTCTTGTTTTTGTAAGTAAAATTGGTTAAAACTAATTTTTTTTTACCATCAAACGGGAGTACATTTATCCTATGGAGGAAGGTAGTCCAATATTACATGGAGCATAAACTATATTGTTACTACATGACAATGAAATTACTATGTTTGTGTTTTCCAAAACACAGGGTTGATGTCTGCCCATAACCCACTGGTACTTCAGGTACTCCTCATTTGGACATATAAATTAGCTTCAGAGCTAATTAGAAAACTAATCTAGATTAGATATTTATCTAAACTTCTTACAATTAACTATGTTAACATTACTGGGAAGTAATTAGTAGTATTAGTTTTAGTTTACACTCATTGGAACTTTTGGAAGAAAAATTTATACTTTGATACTGTCCATAAGCCAACCTCTACACTCATTAATAATAGGATGGATTTCATTGTGAAGCAACTTGCAGTTACTTAATGTAACATGTGTTTTGAACTTAGTATTGTCAATTAAAGTTCAAACTAGTGATGGGGCCATATAGGCGGAGCTGTGATTCTGTCACTGTGACTGGGCCGGAGCTGGTGATCACAGTGACAGGTGCACCGAAATCACAGTGACGGTCACTGTAGTCACTGTGAAATCACTGTGCCCTAACAGTGACAGTCACTGTTGGTGCTGTGAAATCACTATGCGCCAAGAGTGATGATCACTCTGCCCCAACAGTGACGATCACTGTTGGCGCTGTGAAATCCCAGCTCTTATCACTCCGCTTCATCACTCATATTGCACCAGCCATCTATTTGTAAAATGTTAAATACACTTGTGCCATAATTTATTTAATTAATGAATAATTATTTTTAAATAATGGTTATTTGTCAAATGTTATTATAAATACATCTTGAACATTGGATGACAAACATTCATTGCAATAAAGCCATATATTTTTTAATGAGTTATTTCTGAAGTAATTATCGAAAAGTTTTTATTTCAGTATTTTACATATTACTTAACCCGCTGGCCCATGTGAACAATTCGCAAAATATATTGTTTAGTGAAGGAAAAGCATAATAATATAGAAATAAGTAGATCTTATTAAAATATTTCATTTAACATAATAGATCAAAATATTTGTTCAAATTAGCCATTACTTTTTAGGGCCAATTTATAAATGCTGAATATTACCATTCAGAATAAAAAAGGCCTTGATCAGGGGATTGTTGTTATTAAAAAATAAAAAACGTACTAACAAAACAAAAAAAAACTTTAAAAGCTATTTTATTTTTAAGAACTATTTCTCTACTTCATTTATTACTTAATTACCATTTATTTTTTAAATAAATTATCTTTCAAAAACGTAAAATAATTATTTCCGAAATAACTCCAGTTCTGTAGTAAGTTCAAAATGCATGAATAGTGAAAAGGTATAATAGTGTTAAATTACAACTGCACTCTAACCAGTCAATTACTGTGACCTTTTTCCGTGATCTTTTTACCCAATGTATGCAGCATATCAAACTTTTTTTCTAAAATGTATTCTACTCATCACTTTTAAAAGCAATGTTAATTAAGACTGTACTAAGACAAAATTGAGGTGAACCTCATCCTTTCTGTTTTTACATTCACTTACCTATATATGTAATATTATAAGTATTGTGATCATGAAAATTTTTGAATCTGAGTTTTCATTGGAAATACATGTATTCCAAGAGTCCAAAAAACAAACTCCCGAAAAATAGTCTGTGTTTATGTGAACAGTCTAGCTCAAAAACCAAAAGTCATATGAAACTGATATTATTTAATAAGATTGGTATATGCCTTAGATGAGGCATCAACGTTTTCCTTAAAATCGGTTATCCGGAAGTGCCATTTTATATCAATGATGAAACACATTTTTACAATTTTCTAAAAAACGGCTCTAATGATTTTGTTTAAGCACAACACACTTCCAAAATAGGGGTCTCGAAACTAGCTAGAATTGGCCAGCGAGCATCTCAAATCCAGTTAACGAAATACTACATACAAACCTTCCATAATAACTGGAACAACAGATGGAAGAAGAGCAAAGGAAAAATGCCTCAGACGAGAAACTTGAACAATAACTAGACATCAAAGTCAAAACAAAATACCTTAGAAGCACGAAATTGGTTTATTCAAATTATTCTTTTTAAGGTTTTTTTTTTTTTTTTTTTTTTTTATTTCAAATGTTCTTGACAAAAATATTTAAAATATGTTGGATTTTATGGCACCTGCTTTCCTTTAATAAATGTACTCATTAACAAACATTGAGGATTGAGAAATATGATCCTAGAGGGACCACACCCGGTACATTGTATCAATTTTTCACTGATATTCAGAAGTTTAATTTAGTATAAAATATCATAGTAGTAATAAAATTCAGGATTGATTGTTCTTGTCATAGGTATTTCACTGTTCTGACACAAACATTTTATTCAAGTCTTAATCACCTCCCTGGTTTTACATTTCAGTACTTCAGTAATCATAAACATGTTAGGGATAATGAAAGAAGAAAAACTCATAAAAATTATTAAATATTCAGCTGATAAAAAACTTGTTTGATGTCTTAATGGATCTGTCTCTTAAAAAAGATTTTTTTTAATTTCTTGGCTAACACATAATTATCTAGTAATGAAGTAAATTTACAGATTATATTTCTAGTACTGTAACTACTACCCCAACAGCAATAGAAAAATTTAAATAAAACTATTAATTTTATTCGATTTAAAGGAACAAATAAATAACTTTATATACAATGGTTAAAACATTGATCAAAGGGAAAGGTAAATGAATGATTAACAGACAAGGTTACTTAAAATATTCACTACATTATCATGGCTATTTATCTTAATAAAATAAAGAAATCATTGCATTTACACCAAGCATATAGTTAATTCTCAAAATATAAAAAACATATCAATACATCCAACAGGAAAATAGGCAGAATAGAAAAAAATGATAAGAAACATATTATATCTTTAAATTCATTTGTGAACTGAGTCTTCCATTTTCGTAAATTATAGCCCAGTTCACATAAATCTAATCAACCTTTCAGGGCATTTTTCCTCATATTCAGAATCTCAAAATACATTTTCTTTCTTTTAACATATTCTGGTAATTCATAATAATCCATATTTTCTGATATGATATATTATACATATATAATTGGTATTTTATAATCAATACTTGAAAACTTCCATTATGAAGGATGTTTGAATTACATAATTATTTCATTATCACACAAACTTTCACTGTTTGATAAAACCATTACCAAATATTTCATATTTTACATAGTTTGTTTAAATATTAAATTTCAGGAATGAAAGATATATGTTTCTAAATAAATATATATTGACCTTGTCAACTATACCCAAGTCTCCTTTAGTCAAGACATTCTTAATAATTTCTCCAGCTTTAGAAGCAGCGGCAACAGATGAAGCCAAAGCACGAAGAATAGTGGGAACTGTTTCGCTCATTTCAGAATTAAACTGAGAAGCAACTAAACCAGGAAAGAAATAAAAGTCTGCGTTATCTAAATGAAAGGATTTGAACTTCAAGGTTTCCCACGAACTAGTTCCAAAGAGAAAACAGTTTTTAAAGCAATTACGTGTCCTTCACAAAAAAACATTCAAGTCATTTATGTAAAATATGACAAAACTCAAGATTTAAAATTGCCACAGACTACTTGGGTACCGTTTTGTTGATGATTATTTAATATAATTGATGAATTCAGAAAAACTGAATGTTTACCGAAAAAGACATTATGGAACTCCGCCTTAAAAACTAATATTTGGGTGAAAGAAAAATAAATTTTATTCTGGGACATTTAGTCACCTAAGAATAATTATAATGAACAAAAAGATGAAAAATTTTTAGCATTATAAAAACATAGGACAAATTTTAGCTAACATAACATAATAATCTAACCTTATAATTAAATTAAATTAAGTACGAGTAAACATATTTATATTTCTACATAAGTATAAATGATTTTGTTCACATATTTGTTCTGATTAACAATATTGATGATATACACTGACAGGCAAAAAATTCTACCCACTTGATTTTTTCATGTTTTCATCTAAAATATTTCTGCTTTCGATTGGTCTATTGTTTTTAATGAATAAATAGGTAATCTTTTTGTTTGTTTTCAATTAGGAATGTTAATATAGAGGACAATAACCCTTAATCCTTAATTTAATGATATGATTCTAGATTCCAATGTTTACTGTATATGGAATCAAAATGTTTATTCAGTATCATTAGTTCTGTGTCGTTTCTCGCAGCACATTTCTTAGTCTCCGGCTTTTAATTTTTTCAATATTAAGTTTAAAAATGCCTCTTAGTGCTGAGGATGTTGCGCGTGGTGTGGCCCTTATTGATGATGGCCGTTCCATTAGATATGCAGCTAATGCCATTGGAGTTCCATATGAAACTTTACGAGACGCCGTCAGGCGTTTTCGGGAAACTGGTTCTTACAATAGAAGGCCCGGTTCTGGACGGCCTAGGGTAACAGAACCACGGGATGACCGGTTTTTGACTTTGAGAATTTTACGAAACCGGCACCTTACCGTTGTTCAAGCGATTCATCAGCTCGAAGAAGTTCGAGGTGTGCAAATTTCTGAACGTACCGCTCGGAGAAGATTAAATGAGTATAGATTAATGGCTTTTCGTCTAGTAAGAGGACCAGAGTTGACCAGAACTCACAGAGTAACACGGCTGGCTTTTGCTCGATAACACAGCCATTGGACTATGGACGAATGGAGTGCTGTACTTTTTACAGATGAGTCAAGATTCGCTCTTCGATCTCCAGACGGGCGTGAAAGGGTGTGGAGAAGAAGAAACGAAAGATATGCAGCCCGTAATTTTTCCCAGAGCCAACCTTTCCAACGTGGTTCCTTAATGATGTGGGCTGGGATTTTAATGGAGAGCCGCACAGAATTGGTTGTTGTTTGTGGAGGGTCTTTGACGGCCATTCGCTATGTAGATGAGATTTTGGAACCTCATGTGTTGCCTATCCTCAACGGCATCGGCGATCGTTCTATTCTAATGCACGCCCACATGTCGCCCGCATAGTGCAGACGTTCCTTCAACAGAACAATATTGAGGTTTTAGCCTGGCCAGCACGTTCTCCAGATTTGAACCCCATTGAGCATTTATGGGATAATCTGACGAATAAGAGCGCTTGCACACTTCCTGATACACTTCAGGACCTTGAAAGGGCTCTTCGGTAGGAATGGGCTATCCTTCAGCAAAGGGACATTTCCCGACTGGAGGAAAGTATGCCGAGGCATCTTTAAGAAGTGGTGAAGGCAAGAGGAGGAAACACGAGCTACCAAACGATGATGTAATTAATTTCTTTTAGAATAATAATGGTTCGTTTTGGAATCTTGGAAACATTGGAATCTAGAATCATTTCATTGAATTAAGGATTAAGGGTTATTGTCCTCTATATTAACATTCCTAATTGAAAACAAACAAAAATATTACCTATTTATTCATTAAAAACAATAGACCAATCCAAAGCAGAAATATTTTTAGATGAAAACATGAAAAAATCAAGTGGGTGGAATTTTTTGCCTGTCAGTGTATAAATAACGGTAGCATAACAGTCAAATGAGAGTGACAGCTCTTTAATACGAAATTTTATTCTTACATGTATTCGAAAGATTGATTGCTAAGATAGTGGAAGAATAAATGTTGTCTGAATGAGGTTAAGGGAGAGGATTTGCTCATTGAAATAGGTAGGGAATTAAAAAAAAAAAAAGGTAGCATGCATGATAAAGTAAATTTTAAAGGAAACGTTTCTATGAGAGGGAATAAACAGGTTTACGGACTGAGATCTCGTGTTAAACGAATGGACAGAGGAAGAAGGATTAAACAAATCAAGAAGGTGAGGTGGTTTTTTGGTTGTAAAGGTTCGGAAAAGAAATATACCTAGGAAATATTGGGGCCGGAAATCTGCATAGAGCCACTTCAACTCACCAAACCAACTGGAGACGTGGAAGACGTATCTCACAACAAAGAATATTTTTCGCCGTTATCGTACACTTATACATAACATTGCTACAAAATAAATATCCCTAAAGATATACGAAAGGCTAAAAACGAGTTGGGTGGGGGTCATTCGTAAAGCATGCCTCATATGATACCTATAATCTTTCAATTCTATATCAAATCGATCAATGATTCAAGTCCTATTCTTCGGCGTTTCCAATGTTTTGTGGACTACGAAAATGTTAGGCTAGGGTACAAGACTAAATCCTAGGGTTTTTAACCCTTCTCCTGAAGTATCTCATAACCTTGTTCATTATTTTTCTGTCATGTGACAGGGAGGCTGAAGGCTAGATACTCTTCAATTCTTTCTCCCAGAGTTGTTGGGCCGTTAAGAAACGAAAATTGAAAATAATTAGTAGCGCCGTTGATACGAGAATATATCCGTTCTTAGCGAATAAATGTTTTAGCAGAACTATTTCTGATTGATGGGATTTATCACGGCTTAGTAAGTCAGCGCTGTTACAAATCCTTTCTTCATAGATAACCTTGGGATTCTATATGCAAATTTTGATCAGAACAAGCTAGCTAACAGTGTGCTTTATTTCTCAGAGTCTTTTTTTAGTTTTTTCTAGACACCACGTCCAAAAAGTAAAATTTATATACCAATTTGATCTCAGTAATAATCCTTATGGAAAGGTCGATACCTGTTCAACTATCTTTAAAGGAATCTAGTGTTTCTTTACTGTAAGACCTTACCGCAAATATATCGTCAAAATCTTTACTCATTCCGGTGAATAAATAAATAATTTCAAATCATTGTTCCAAATATAATAGACCTGGAGTAGATTACTGATGAAACAGTTTTGGAGTGCTAGAGTATGAGTCGAAGTACTTCGAGATTATTGTATGATGGTACAACGTACAGCAGTATGAAACTATGATCCCTTCTCTTTCAGTAAATATATTTTTCCATATCATTCTATATTAATGTAAATTGTCATCTTTGTAATGATAAGGTTCTTAATTGTCTCAAAAATATAACCTGTCTTATTTTACAGATTCAACCAGTTTTTCAGTAGTATTGCCCCCAAATCAATGTAAAGTTTCTTTTAAATCGTACTGTTTTATTAACAGTTAATAATGAAAAAGATTTTGTCAACTTGGGAAATATAAAAACTTTTTAAAATTTTCAGATAACTTTCAAGATACAAAAATCTTTAGATTTGTCATGTGGTGTAGCGTACATCACTGAATTATTGAACTGCTCGGATGAAGAAATAGTTGCCGAACTTGAACATAACGTAGTAGTTAACGTTAAAAGAATGCATAAAAAAAATAATGAGGATAAGCCGACTCCATTATTGATCCTGACATTTAAAAAAAGTGAACTCGCGGATAGACTGTTATTAGATTTCATTTCCATAAAAATCAGATCATACGAACCCAAATATCTTCTTTGCTTTTCGTGCTATGAATACAGATATGCGGACAGGTACTGTAAAATAATTTAACTCCATGGCGCTACAGATCGGTGTGGTTCGTGGCCGCCTCAATGATCCCTCGTCAGATGGCTGTATCTCGCGCAGTCGCTCGCCAGTTGCGGGTATGCAATACTTATCTGGCTTCTCGGACGACGGTGTCCTCCTATCTTAGACGTGGTCTGCCTTTCCCTCTTGTCCTGCAGAGCTTCCCATCAAGAACCTTTCTTGGGACCTCTTCTGCCATTCCGGCCACATGGCCAGCCCACCAGCATGGTTACCCAAGCTTGATGTACCTCAACACATCTGTTTCCCCATACAGACCATGTAGGTCCCTGTTAGTCCTCCTTCTCCAATCGTCAAGGACCTTAAGAGGTCCAAAAATACGGCGAAGCATCTTCCTTTAGGTCCAGCTTTCCGATTGATATGTGAGAACAGCCCTTATGAGGGTCTTATATATGAGGTAAAATCATAAATTGTGGTAAATATGGAGAAAATTCACACACAGCCGAAAACTGCACCAGCAAACCTTTCTGTATCAGTTTTGTTTGTCTCAGAAGCTCTAATTGAATAAATGTTTAAATTGGCTAGCACCGTCGAAGTTCTGTTTAAAAAAAAATAGTTTAATAGAACCCTCATTAGTGAAAGTTAATAACATTAGTTGCTAAGAGAAACTAATAGTCTCTATCTTGAAAAGCACATGAAAGAGTATATCCACATATTATGGTTGTTGATAAACAAACGGAAATAAATGAAGCTAGTAATAAATGGACCGCTATATCAAATATACCGAAATTAGATATTAATCTAAAGAGAAATAGACCAATACCATAAAATTCATGTATAAGTAATAAAAGTAACTCCTCAAAAATTACTCATACAACATTAGCAAAACAGAATTATAAAAATAAAAAATCTTAACCGTAAACATCTACTTGTTTCTAACTTCATCACTAATCATTTTTGGTTTCTGAACATTAGGTATTATTTTTTAGCTATAAATATAGATTTAATGTTATTTTTTTCCATTTCAGTCATAATTTTCTGTTTTCTCATTTATTTCTTTGTCTGCTATGTCTATCT